TGGTGAGGCCCTTCTATTCGGGTCTTTAAAGGTGGACCAAGAGTGAAGGCGATGCTCATTGGTTTTGTCTTCTCGAAGCTCCCGAACTATAAAGGCTTCAAAGGTACCATTGATCAGCTGATGGACAACCAGTACATGGTCTGTGGAGAGCTGGCAATCATTGACTCAACCACCATTGAGATCTCGGAGTTGCCTGTCAAAACCTGGACACAGGTTAGTTGCAATCTAATCTTGAGACCACTATCACAAACTAGATGGCACAAGATGAGGTACACAAAATTTTAATACACCGCTGTAAAGTTGAAGTTCCACAGGCCAAATGCAGCCCTCTGAATGATTTGATTTTTGTCTGCAAAAGTTGGACAGATTTTCAAAATATACATGACAATAATTAAATGTAGGGGCATTGGATTTTTTAAAATCACATATTTCTCATGCAACCTATTCACAATGCAATTTTCTTAAAAATAAAAGATGAGCTTCAAAACCGAGGTACATATCAGTCTGGGATTTACTTACAGCGTAAGAGATTGCATTATCCCGTTTCAATGTTGAGGTCGACAACGGAGATGCTCGTAAATAAAATTAAATTTGTTGCTCACTTGGATCACAACATCGCCTTGTCATCTCTCTTCCAGACATACAAGGAGAACGTTCTGGAGCCGATGCTTAACGGCACCGAGAAGGTTGCCCCTCTGATCACAGACTACAAGGAATACCACACCGACACCACTGTGCGTTTTCTGATCAAGATGACCGAGGAGAAGCTGCGGGAGGTAGAGGCCGCGGGACTCCATAAAGTCTTCAAGCTGCAGAATCCTCTCACTTGCAATTCCATGGTACATTCAGCAAGTCGCGATCATGAGACTGCAAGAATTCCTTTGTGGATGTAGCACCTTTAGACTTGTGGCGTTTTGTCATTTCAGGTTCTGTTTGACCACGTGGGCAGCCTGAAGAAGTACGAGTCCGCGCAGGACATTCTCAAAGACTTCTTTGAGTTGAGGTTGAAGTACTACAACCTGAGAAGGGCCTGGCTCTTGGGCATGTTGGGGGCAGAGAGTGCCAAGCTCACCAACCAGGCCCGCTTCATCCTGGAGAAAATCCAGGGCACCCTGGTCATTGGTAAGTGGCAGTTACAGCATGCCAGGTGTCACTGTGACTTGAGTTTGGGTTTGCTCATATCAAGTGTCTTCATATAGAGAACAAACCAAAGAAGGAACTGATTCGCATGCTGCAGCAGATGGGTTATGACTCGGACCCAGTCAAAGCCTGGAAACAGGCCCAAGACAAGGTAAGGCCTCGGGAAGGGAATTCTTTCAGTCTCATTTCCATTCAGTCAGCAGCCACCTGCACTCAATTTCCCGCGTGATCATTAGAATGCGGAGCAAGCGGAGGAGGATCAGGAGGAAGCTCCGGAGGAGGAGGACACGAGTGGGCCCGACTACAACTACCTGCTCGGCATGCCCATGTGGTTCCTGACCAAGGAGAAGAAGGAGGAGCTCTGCAAGCAGAGAGATGCTAAGGTGAGCTATTCACATCTGCTCTCGGTGTGCACTTTTTGATATGTTTACACTTTTTCTGATCTTTCCTTTTGCCACCACTACTTTGCAGATGACAGAGTTGAACGCACTGAAGAAAAAGACTCCATCTGACTTGTGGAAAGATGATCTTGCTGCCTTTTTGGAAGAACTGGAGGTAGGCGCTCATCTTTTTTTTTTTTACACTGGCTGTGTCGAGCGAGGATTTGCCTCCAACTCTTAGAATTACACCTGGTCATTGTGATCTCCCCCACCACAGCGCGTTGAAGCCAAAGAGAAGGAGGATGCCGCGTTGCCCGTCAAAAAGACTTCCAAAGGCAAAGCGGTGAAGATGACGGTCAAAACAGAAACTCTGCCCACACCGCAGGGCCGCCGCGTCATCCCACGCATCACCAGTGCCATGAAAGCCGAGGCGAGCAGGAAGGCCGACCTCCTCAAAGGAGAACGCAAGAGAGGCAGAAATGTCAAGGTCTGTTTTCTTATTTAGACAAGGGAGACTTTGGGGAAGATGGTCCCGTTGTGAATCAATTGTTTCTCAATTGTGCATTTGCAGACTGAAGATGTTGTGAAGTTGGAATTTGGGGACGGCGAGGAGGAAGACGGTCTGCCTGCACCATTGACAAAGAGGACCAAAGCAACCTCACAAGGGAAAGGTCGGCATGACTGCTCTACTACAGAATAAAAGTGAAAGTAAATCCTAGGAATCGGATCCCGTTTGCGACAAGCGGAGAGCAAGAGCCATGACAACGATGATACTCATTCATTTGGAACACTGTCAAATACCGTATTTGGTTGCAGGATCAAAAGTGGGCAAGCAGACCACCCTTCAGTTCAAGCCGGTTGCCAAGAAGTCCAAAAAGAATGAGACATCAGAGGAGGAGGAGAGTGACAGTCGGTCTGAAAGTGAAATGGAGGATGTTGCTGCCCCAAGAGAAAGAATTCAACGCAAAACTAAAGGTAGTCCAGCGAACAGGTTCTCTGACTTCTTGGCTCAAGGGGGAGAATCTTTCTGCCCAAGAACCCCCATCACAATCCGAAGGCTGTTTGTCATGTGCACCGGATTTTTTCTTTCTTTCACAATTTCAACTCAAACCATCAACATTTAAAAATAACTTAGTCAAAATACAAATGAATATTTATCCATCACTGCTTGCTGAAGTGCACTGCTTCCTCGAGCATGACTGCAAACAGAAGAGCTTGATTCGAAAAGGACAATCAGCATTGCCCACTTGGCACTTTGGTCACTCCTCGCCATCTTGAGGGAGTTTTTCTACCACTCTCGTTACTTTAGAAAAAAAAAGGCCACATGTGACTAATTCACACTTTGTAACGGCGAATCATGTTCACATCGTTTTGCATATGACAAGTCAAACTCGTGAAAGGCATTCACGGGGAAAAAGTGTTTTTAAAAAGTGATTTATTGGCATGTTGGAAACTTGCTTTATGTGCCTTCAAGCTGCAACTATTTTATCTAAGTTGCCTTGCCTTACCTGTACAACTGATGAGAGGAAGAAATGTCAGATTCAACTGAGCTTTCATTTGGGCCAAAGCGAAGGTAGGGAGGATTTTTTTGTATCTTACGAATCCAGACATCCAAGCCCAGGTACTTATTTACATATTTAAATTTATTTTTCCACAATGTGGGGTTAAAGAGGGTGTGAAAATGGGTCACGGTTAATATTTTATTGCTAATTATTTTGTGTTACGGTGCATGGGTGTCGTTTTAAGAACTGTTGCTCTGGTGGATCGCCGCGGGATTCCGCTCATAGATTGCCACAAACAACCAGCATTGCTGAATCCCCAGATCTGCTATGTTTATTTTCAGTTGCCATCAAGTACTCCATGTTTGATAGCGATGATGAGTTTGATGGCTGTGTGAAGATTGACGCTCGGAAACAAAAAGCTGTCATCGGCGATGACGAAGACGATACGAGCTTTGGCCCTGACCCGGACAGTGACCTGGATTCTCCAAAAGCACCAGAGCCTGTGTGAGTATGACACGATAGAAAGTGGTCGTTTTTTTTTTTTTTTTTTTAAATCTAATACCAACATATTAAAAAAAATGTATCTTTCACAGGATAAAAATTGGTTGTCTTTTTTTAATTTTTGTGTAAAACCAACATTTTTAAAAAAAAGTATCTTTCACAGGAAGAAAGTGACAAAGGCTAAACCAACAGCTCATAAACAACGTGGAAGCAAATTGAGCTGTAAGTAATGTCTTTGGCTCTCTTGTGAAGTAAGCCTGACAAATGCACATCTGGAAGTTTTAATGTCTCCCACATTTTTTTTTCTTTATGGATCATTAGCAGCTCAGTCTGACAAACAGGAGGCTGCCCCAGCGGCTTTGGTTCAGCCTAAGACCAAACGGGCTGCTCCAAAGAAAGTTGTCGCATCCAAGAAAGCTGCAGGTTGTAAGACACCCCACGAACGCTAAAATGCTTTTGGATGTCTCATCGATCGCGGTCTTAAATCGTTGTTTCAGATGTGAAGCAGCCATCCATCGTGGATGCTCTGTCCAAACCCAAACCTTCATCAAGTGCCGTGTCCAAGAGTATTCCCTTGTTTGACTCTAAGGGCGAGGCCAATGTACAGAAGCCGAAGCCCGCCCCCAAACGGAAACAAGTCATAAGTGATGACTCTGACAGCGACTCAGGGGACCTCATGTCGCGCATTATGTCCAAAACATCCACTGGAGCCAAGGTTTGTGTTTAATTTGGGTGCCTTTCTTTTTTTTGGGGGGGGGGGTAGTGTCCTACTGTCAATACTGTACACACTGGTGCATGTTGACGCTTTCTCTCCCTTTATAGAAAAAAGGACGGAAGTGGAGTGATGATGATGATAGCTTCCAGATTTCGGACAAGGAATCTGCAGCTCCAAAAGCTGTGGCAGCACAGGCCAAACCGAGTAGAGCCAGGAAGCCCGTTAACTACAACTTTGACTCGGATTCAGACTAAACCAGTGTTCACATTTCATATTTCCTTCTTCCTGAGTTTAAAATTTGTTTTTGTATTGAGTTTTGAATGTACGCAAGTGTAAATATTTTGTTGTTGTTGTTTGTCCACTGTTTCTAAAATAAAGTTCATGTTTGTATTGATTTGATTGTAGGTTTCTTCCTTGCATGCTTGAGTTGAATAAGTTGCAAGCTGGTCTGATGAAAATGGTTGTTATGCATTGTCATAAAAGTTCTTCCAGGAATTTCACCCAAAAACCCAGTACTGTGGTGCTGTAAGATGCTACGCGCATTTTTTGTGGTGGGGGGGTGTCAAGAATGTGTTTGAAGCAGTTGATTACCATTCCCAGTCTGTTTACTGACAAATTAATGAAAATGAAAAACCATTGCATGTAACCACATACTGCACTTTAAGATTTGGCTAAAAACTTTTTAGCCAAGTGAGTGAGGTTTTTTTTTTTTTTTTTTTTTGCAATTTTGATTAGCATTTGGGTAAAAACTTTTTAGCCAAATGCTAATCAAAATTGCAAAAAAAAAATACTTTAAATAGCTTTAAAAAGAATCCGAACTATTTACAGACATTTGAGCACTTGCAGAATGAATGACATAATGCCCTCTCTGAATGTCCTATAGCTATATATATTTTCAAGACTGCTTTGCTTTGCCTTCAAACAGGCTTTTCCTGCCTGGAGGAATGCCTCATTATGAGGTTTCTAATTCTTGTAAACATCATGCTGACTGTCTCATGCATGATCAGCGCAGATTAGGCCCAAGCAGGAATTTAGCAAACCACTTCCGCCCGCTCATTTATTTCTGAGTGTGTTGCAACCAGTCCGTGCCATTTGGTGTGACAGCTGGAAAATGGACATCGGCACTGTTGATTATGGAAGATTATTTATTTATTTATTTGTGAAAGAAGACAGGACAAGACATGAGGAGTTTCGAGGCTTAAAATGACAAGGGCATGTGAAAGGTAGGCCGATTTGTCAGCATTCTTCGACCTGTCTGAGAAAGCTCTCCCGTCTGTTCAAGGTGTTGAAAGTACAGACTAACTAGAACAGACAAAGACTGATAAAAGTAGAAGTACTGATTTGACACTTGAAGTAAAAGAGTAACAAAGTAGAGACTCTGAAATGGACTTAACTCATTCACTCCCAAAGACATATTTATATGTCTTTTCAGACTTCACACATTGAATCCCATGTACTTAGGTTTTCTTTTTTCCTAGCTTTTTTTCCCAAGACTTAAAGTAATTTCTTGGGGGGTGGTACTGAATGAGTTAAGGACAGTCATTTAAAATGAATTTATATGAAATGCCTGGGTTTATTTTTCTAGCAAGCATTGACTGCCTCGTGTGTTCTCGGAACACGTTCCCATAGCTTTGCTCATGTTGTGAACCGAGCTAACAAATACATGCTGAATTAGCTAATGATAAAGGATTTTCTTTTCTGTTCTTTTTCTTTGAATCCGTACCTGCAAGTGGTTTTTCAGATGAGACGGAGGGAAGCTGGAGCAATATTTTTTTTTAAGCTGGCATGAGATGCAATGCATTTGTCGCCAATCATTCTTGGAGCCGAGCATGTCAAAAATTCTCTGAAAGAAGGTGATGGATGTCAAATATCTTTTGATTCTCCAGATTTGTTGCCGTGGACGCTAATGCTCTCTGCTTGTCGTTCCTTCATGTAGCTGCTGTACCTGTGTGACCCCAAGACTTCAAGCAAGGTCTCAACTGGTGTTGACCTGAGCTTTTTCTCTCTCTCTCTCTATATATAGTGTCATCATCTGTGGAGCTTGTAAAAGGTAATAAGACTCATGACTATGTCAGGTGTACCCTGATCAAGTATTTGCACTTTGTAACATCACGACTTTCATACCTGTAACGAGAGATGAGTCAATGTCGCGTAATAACCTTGAAATCTGGCTTTTTATTGTTTTATTCCTTAATTGAGAGCGCTCTGTCCTCTGATGCGTGTTTTGTTTTGACTTGTAGATCTTTGGAATACGAAGCGTTGTAAACTGCAGATGAGGAATAAGTAACAGCCTGAAACAGCCCGAATGAAAGGCCTTTCGGTTCTTGGCAATCGCCGACACAGTTGAGCGTGAGACAGATCCACTTGCTCGCAGAGAACCCGCAAGTGTCAGACTGCCGCCGTCATGGGGGAATGGAGTTTTCTCAGCGGACTCTTTGACCACCTGCAGGCCCATTCGCCCATGCTGGGCCGCTTCTGGCTCCTGCTGATGCTGGTGTTTCGGATCCTGATCCTGGGAACAGTGGCCAGCGACATGTTCGAGGACGAGCAGGAGGAATTTGCCTGCAACACGCTGCAGCCGGGCTGCAAGCAGGTGTGCTACGACCAGGCCTTCCCCATCTCCCAGTACCGCTTCTGGGTCTTTCACATCGTCCTCATCGCCACGCCGTCGCTGCTTTTTCTCATGTACGCCATGCATCATCACAACAAGAGAACCAGCGCTTCCAAAGCTCCTCGAGACTACAGGGAAACCCGGCAGTTGAGGCGGCTCTACATAGTCCACGTGGCCTTTCGGTTGTTCGCCGAAGTCTCCTTTCTCGTCGGGCAGTGGTGGCTTTACGGCTTCAAGGTGGAGGCCCAGTATCCCTGCGACCGCTTCCCTTGTCCCTACACCGTGGACTGCTTCACCTCACGCCCGGCCGAGAAAACCGTCTTTCTCTGTTTCTACTTCACCGTCGGGGTCTTGTCTGCCATTTCCAGTTGCGTGGAACTTCTCTACAGTTCCAGCAAGTGGTTCTGTTGCAAACGACGGCATTTCAGCGACCCGAGCGCCCAGAGCTACAAGTCGGGGGAGCTGCCAGAGATGCGTTCGCAAACAACCGTGTCAGACAACGTGGCAAGCAGCGGGAAGACCAGGAGGGGTTCGCACAAGAGCAGCAGGAAGGGTGACAGGCCGCCTTACAGGAACGGTAAACATGTAAACGGCAAGACTTTCGTGGTGTGACAGCCTATTTTGGAAGACAATCAACTCTCACTGAGTCATAAGGAAGTACAAAAAAAAAAAAACATGTTGATTTAGCCGTCGTCAGTCACCGCTCACCAAACTGACGTGGATCACATTGGACACCGGAGGTGGCAAAAGTACTCAGTCGGTGGGTAACTCATTCACTGCCACTGATGGCTGTAAACGTCAAAGATCCATTTTAAACTGGGCTGGCAGTGAACGAGCCACAAATTACAAACATGTTTTTTTTTTTTCTTTCCTTCCTCGGTAGTCACGATTGACAAATGCGCTAATGACAAGTATAATTGAATTAAAAACTTCCATGCGAGGAGACTGTTCGAATCCAACCTGATGACTGCTCTGAGAAGTGTTAACCTCCTCTTCAGCAAAGTTATGCTCATCTGAAAAGGAAGTTATCACTTGCCTGACGCATCTGTTGCCCCCATCCCACAACGACAGACATCTTGCTTAGTCTCACAGCAGTGACGATACAATATCGGAAAAAAAGGAGCAAGGTCTGCGAACAAATATCACGAGGTTATAATTACATTGAATACACTTTAGAAGTGCCAAGTCAAATACCAAAATGCTTCGCAAGCACGGCAGTCAAGCGTTTGGATTTCATGACTTGCCACAACAGTGTTTGGATCCACCTCCGGCACTGATTACGTATTTAGTTTCAGACACCGGCGCTCAGTTACACCCATCCTGAAACTTGTCATGTTTTGTATGATAATTATCCCCGTCATTAAGAGTTATCTTGGGCCGTGCCGTCGCTTATCTCACATGTTATGTCTTGACTTTTGGAATAACAGGGGAAACAACACGTATGTATGGCTGTTTGCCCACCGTGACTGAGCCAAAGCACATCATGTCAAATTAGGGGGAAAACGCAGGTCATTGATGTACCATCGAGTCAAAGAGCATTCAGGTTTTTCTGCCCGTCACCATATGCCGCTGTCACAGACACAGCAAAGGGACAGTAGTGAATAAATGGCAGAACACGCCTGTAGATCTTTCATTTTCATTTGCTGTGGGTGTTGCTGTAAAACCTTGTCCAACCCACTTTTGAATGAGTCCCATGATGTAACCATTTACACCAGGGTTTCCTCGAGCTTTTGTTTGTCGTGAGTTAGGTTAGAAGAGGTCACAGATACGGTCAACACAGGAAAATAAAGACTGAAGTGATGCGGTTGAAGAGGTACTATGGAATGAAATTGAAATCCCGTGAGAGGGAGTACGGTGGCATTATTCAGAATTACGATGAGAATAAATTAAGAGCATTTTGGGGGAATTTGAGATTGAGCACCGGTTTATGAGGACCGCACTGGAAACAAATACGAGGAGGATAATGACAAAAAAAAGAAAGGAATAAAACACATTTTAAAATTCTCACACGAGATGCTCTTCCTTGCAATAAACTTTTTTTTTTTTGCAAGATTTTCATCTTTTGAAATATATATATATATATATATATATATATACACACACACACACACACACACACACACACACACACACACACACACACACACACACACTGACACAAATCCGCGCTCGTATACACACTCTCTCTCTCTCTCTCTCTCTCTCTCTCTCTCTCCTTCCCTCCCTCTCTCTCTCTTGTGTGTGTGTGTGTGTGTGTGTGTGTGATAAAAATTGTGATATTCTTTCTTAGAGGAAGTCCAATTTTACAGTCATCGTATATAGCTCTAATCCAAACTTCGACAAGGTTTTCCTTCAATTGATGAGGACGGATTCCCAAAAAGTTTTTTAAACTTGCATGCACAAAGCACATTAAATTAAAAAATACCCCCACGATGGACATGATGCGAGTGATTATCAGGACTAAAGCTTGCAGAAATAAGCCACACAAACAACCCTCAGTGCACGCAAATCATTGTTTTGTGCAATACATTTAATGACAGCAACCCTTTGCAAATATGGATCAAGTCCTACAAGCCAAAACACTGATGGAAGCTCCTCCCCTCATGTCAACATAGTTCCTTGCAACCAAGTTGGTGCTCCTTTTTGTCTTCGATTGGGGTTTGATAAGACCTAGATGGTGCATAAAGAGTACTGATGTAAATAAAACTCCTCCCTCACTTCTGCATAGTTCCTTGGCAGGTGTTTTAAAAAGCACAAAAACTGACAGGCGACAAGGTTGCCTCGAGAAATCTGACAAGAGGTACACTTTCACACATTTTGTGTGGAAATTTCTGCAATATTAGCATTACTTTGATGTCATGTTATGGCATTTGGAGCAAAGAATCAGTCTTGGCAGGAATTGAGTGACTTGATTTTGACAACTATAGTGCTTTGGTGACATTCTATTCCATCTTGGGTGGCAAGGAACTGCGCTGACACTAGTGCTTTGGTGCAATCCGGTTCCAAAGAACTTTGGTGCCATCTTGTGGAATCTATAGCCCATTACAAAGTCCTTTTTAGTGCGGGTGTAATTTATGGGAGGAATTTGGCTATTCTGGGCAGGGTTGGGGTTCACAGGAATTATACTTATCACACAACCTCCAGGGGGTCCCTGTCAGCCTTGGAGACCATCACGATGACATCGGCAGGAACCTTTTCAGTCAGTTTCTGGCGGAACACAGAGAGATAGCCGCGCTCGCTGTTGCTGTGGTCACTGAGGATGACGCTGGTTCCCTTGGCAACGGCATCCAGCACCTCATGGTGAGACATCTCACCTAAAACCACATTAAATCAGAATCAATTCTGTCACTCAAGTGGTCGTCACGGCAAAATACAGCACTTCTGTTTCCAGAAAGGAGCAGCCTACGCACCGGTGACATAGAGATCTGCTTGGACGCCGCTGAGTACCGAGGCTCCCGAGCCCGCACACGCAGCCACAGTCCGCACAAAGGATTCTGGGAATCATGCAAAAAGTAAGCAAAACTTTTTTTTTTTCATCCCCCCGCACCCCTCCTCGTTATTAAGTTCCCCAGCTTGCGTGCCTCCACACCTTGCGTGCATCCCTGTCCGAGGGCCAAACGTAGGTGTCTCAATCCCAAGTGGGACTTCATTTTCTTCACGGCTGTTGCCACGGTTACCGGCTCATCCAAAACACTGCGTCGCCCCTGACCATGGCCCAGCCGAGGAGGCTGGAGGCGGTCAAAATTGGAAAGACAACAGTGGCACAACTAGATCAGTTATTTCCAATCAATATGTCCTGCGATAGAAAATTCCGCAAATTCACTTTATGGGGAAAAAAATGGCGGTTCCGCTGTCGTTTTTCAATATGTGAACTCATTTTATACGTCGCTGTGAAGCATGTTGCTTACCTTTTCTGCCTTAAGAATGCGGAGGGACCTGTCGACGGCGATGATGTATTGCGTCACTTTATCAACCACCGGAGCCAGTGCGGAACCACTGCAGTATAGGCTGACTTGAGTCTTGGTGGCGTCACAGCTGTTAAAAAAGACAAATATTAAAAAAAAAAAGTTTGCCCAATTTAAATTGCAGTATAAGTATACATACATATCATATTCAAGTATGAAATTTGGTTGATTTAGTCAGGATTATGCTGAAATCACTTTCCCTCAACAAATCTGGTTTACGTATGAGTAATAGTGTCGAACCTGAGAGGGTCTTGTACTAGCACTCCTTCCAAAGCCTTCAGTTCGCACAAGAGTGCATCCGATATGTCATTTTTGCATTGGAATTCCACTATGTGACTGAAAGGCAAATCCACATAGGCCTGAGTCAGTACAGACACCCGACCGCCACCTGAAACCAAACCCACATGGAGGACACTTGGTGAGAAGAGGTCAGCGATTCTCCAACCTTTAATGTGGCAAGGTGCATATTTTACATGACAAAAAGTGCCGAACAGAATATATGCCAGTGAGTCATGTTTTCTCCCTTTGCACGTGTTGCTGCTCTCTGTGGGTCAAAGCAGCAGTTTGAAGGTTTTGAATTACACCAACATTTATGCAAAATTCCGTTAGCCTGTCAATTGAGTTTCACATTATATGTTAGCATGAAGCTAGCAGTGAAATTATTCGGGTTGGTTGAACATTTGTTCGGCGTTGAAATATACAATGTTCAATTCCCTTTGGTTTAGTAGTGAACTTCAACCGGGAGTCTCCAATGGCTTGAAGCAAGCACGCTGGGCATTTTATTTGAAAAACTGTGAGCAAGAGTGTGAAAATAAGCGCGATGGAATACTTAAAACTAACTATCCCCAGTATACCTTCCCACAGAAATGTCTTGCAAAGTTTCTAGAAATGTTCCAACTCTATGCCACTTTAGCTGTGAGCATTTTTCCATCGACTCACCAAGTCCTCCGACCAGCCAGTCGTTGACTCCTCCACCAACGTTGTCCCAAGACGTGTGAGGCGAGAAGACCGCAATGCTGGCCTCCACGGCTCTGATAGCCAATCGCTGCTTCCAGTCGTTCTGGACCAGACGTTTGATTGGGCGAAAGAGCGGAGGATGGTAGGAGATGATGAGATCGCAGCCTTCGGCCCGGGCTTCATCCATGACTGCCTCTGTGAGATCGTTGGTCAGCAGGACGGTTTTGATGGGCCGCGGCTCGCTTGGCTCCACCAAGAGGCCCACGTTGTCCCATGGCTCAGCCAGCGAGAGAGGTGCGAGATCCTCCAAAACCTTTAGAACGTCCTTTAGCTCCATCGGGCTGGGGCGGAATGAGGAATAATAGCGGGGGAGGATGAAGCAGAAATTACAGGATGCGATTTGAAGGATGGACCTGGTCCAAACGCTTCTGAAGCTTTGCAACAGAAATATCTTTGGAAGGGTCTTACATCCAGTCAATATCAAGCGAGACCTGTGAGGACAATAATACATTGGTGCCTCAGAACCTCAAAGTGGTAGCGAACTTTACAACAAACAGCAGTTTAGCAGGTCGTGAACAATTCTTCAAAAATATGTTCACACAAAGAGTCGGAACACATGACAAGACAATATAACATGACTCACTGGCATATTCTTTATCCTCTGCGAAACACGACTATTACTACATCTCTGTCTAGATGCGATGGTCTTCTGTATTTTATCATCAAATATGCCTGTCTGTTTGTAATTATGCTATCACTGTTTTTATATAGTACAATACTGAAGAGTGGCATTTTTCTTATTGAAAAAAATGTTTGGTTGTTGATCAATATTTACCACACTACTGGACATTTCATATTGCTTCAAAACATTTGCATTAATATCCGGGATGTACAGAATATATTGTTAGAGCAGATTTTTAATTTTTTAAAATTTTTTGCTCGAGTGCAACTTGACACATCGCTAATAACATTCGTTCCCACTTTTTATATTGTAAGCACACAACGGAGCGAACTGTTGCGATTTGGTAGGGGTAGGGTGAAACAAATCTTATTTGTTGAACACACAAAGCCATCATTTTAGTATGCATTTTAAAGTATTTTTAATGATGTTCATTTGCACAGAGACGCGCACGCTCAAATTTACTTACATGAGAAGTTGGGAGCTGCATTGTTCCGGCTTCCGGTGACGCGAGTCTACGCTCGTTTTTGATTGGTCCGTTTAATATTACGCTACGACGTTTGATTGATGAGATGGCAGACGAAATGAAATACAGTAACGTGTACTGAATAGCCTTAAAAAAAGTGTTAAAGATTAAAAAAAATCTACAGGCGAGTTTGTAAATGAGTGAATTAATGTGTTTGTCAGTGAATTAATCTGTTTATATATCTATATATGAACATCTAAGTGAGCAGGAAAAGATCAGAGGACAATTCTGTGCGTGGTGGGGCACGGCACTGGACTTCTGAAAACGATACGGATGATCACATGCTCTCCAATGACCACGTGCGATCCAAGCACTTTAACAAAAACAAAGCGAAAGGTTGCCAATGTTTAGAGGTGACTGCTGCTAGGGTTTAAAGCAAAAATCCTGTCAAATGCAGGGTGGCCAGAGTGACTGCACTGAAACCCAATCTGAGAGATTATTAAGGATTAACGCGATAAAGGTCGAAGCTGGATGTTGGATGGATCAGGGGGTCTGGTGGTTATGTCATTTGGTGTTTGCTCATCACCAATCAGTCACTCCTCGCCACTGTAAAACAAACGGCTGAGGTGGCAAAGGGATTTATACATTGTACTTTAGTAGAAGTGCAGACACTCGAGTGAAAGTACTGATTCAAATATACAGATGTTTTTCAAATGTAGGTAGTCAAGTAAAACATCTCTATATGAGTGCAGAAAATTCTCCCTAATGTCTTTCATGACTTGCTACGACTGACAAATGGACTTCACAGGACATGTCAAATTTGACCACAGGGGATTTGCAACATATTAGCACACGGCCATTATGATGTCATCATGCCCGTCCAATCAACAGATTGAGAATGGCAGATGTGCTCCAAAGTGAATGGCTTCATTTAGAATCATCTGTGTCGGAAGGTCAGCCCATCTGGTTCAGCTCTTCTCACGTTGCGTGGAGATGGATGATGCTTGTTTTGCAGTCTATGCCATAGGAGCAACTTCCAAAAAGCATTTTTAAGACTCTCCAAGGCCATTGAGTTTCTGCTCATATTGTTTAGACGAGTGTTTCGCACGGCTTTCCATGCTGTGGCGAGAGGCACGAGCCCCCGGCTAGCTCACCAGCCTTTCACGGAAGGGCGGCAGATTCATCTGCAATGCCAAATAGGACACCAAACTGTTCTGTAAATTGTGGCATGAAACAACGATGCAGTTTCTTTTGTGCCTTAGCTCAATAACGTTTGGGCAAAAACTGGTTCACCATTTTAAAAAAGTAGGAATTAATCTTGTCCTTGATTTGCAAATGCACCACCACATTTCTGTGAAGGCTCTCCCATTTCTCAGAGAAGCGTAATGTTTTTTTTTTTTTTTTTTTAATAATCTTAATACTCTCTAAAAAGCCTGTTATGAGAGGAAGCATGACGTCAGATGACTTTTTGAGGACGTCTAAAATCACTCTTATCAACTGGCCGGCTTCTCCATTTTTGGCCATGAAATCTCTTTATCCTAACGCGCCTCCAAATCCAAGGCAGACGTGTTTCCTTAATCTAAAACATTTCAGCCACCACAGTATTTGACTGCATTGTTTTTTTTATTTATTTTATTTTCCAAATGCCATCTCTGGAACATCCATAGAACTTTGTACTGTTTCATTACACAACCGACAAGCGAGATGTTATGCCAGTTGCTTGTTTTTGTGGTGGGGTTGCCATGCAGAAAATTATTTTTTCTGGAACATCCATAGAACATTGTACTGTTTCATTACACAACCGACAAGCTAGATGTTATGCCAGTTGCTTGTTTTGTGGTGGGGTTGCCATGCAGAAAATTATTTTTTTCCGGAAAAATACAACCTCAACATTTTAAGATTTTTAAATTAAGAAAAAAATTACTTAGGTTAAATGCTGTAAGACAAAAGCTACTGGTAAAAAGTAATATCTTCGCTGTTTTGAAATATTTAATCTTGGTTAGATTACAGGTTGTGCTATAGTTCCCATCGGCACGCTCGCTCTAGCTCTTTTAAAACACGCCAAATAAACGGCAAGCGAAATTGAACAGGAACGGACAAATGTTGCGCATTTGCAGAGTTGAGTTGTCGGTCGGCCTCCGCTGTCATTGATGCGACATCATCCTGACAAACTCTGTGGGAGACAGCAAGAATTATTTATTTCAATATGAAATCAGACCAGAACAGATTTTGGGCATTTCAATTCATTTCAACGGGGAAAGGGTTGATTTGAGAGAGGTACGAGCATGGTCATGACACAAATTCAAATTGTATCGCAAGGCACCACTGTAATTTGGACAGAAACTTTCCAAACTGCAAGATTTCTGAAATTTCCCAGTTGAACTACTCCTGGAGATTTACCGGAAACTTTGGGGAACTTTAGTTGCGATCTCGATTCAAATTCGATTAAGCGTCAGTGGTGCAGTCTGACCTCCTTGAAGGCGTTTTTCAGCTCCTTCACTCCAATCATGCCAGCTGTTTCCGCCAGAAGTTTGGGTGCCATCAGATCCACAAAATCGTCAAAATCCACTCGACCGCCAACTGGAGGGCCAAAAAGGAATTTGTTTTTCCAAAATACAACAAAGGGTGTTGTTAAGGGTTTAGTCCCCAAACTAAATCAGAAGTGGATGTGTGTGCGTGTGTGTGTGTGTGTGTGTGTGT